TATATATATATATATATATATATATATATGAGTAATGATCCTATGAGACCCTCCTGCACCCATGTAGGACCCCAAATAATCACTATTAAATATGACACAGATTTCTAAAAAAATTATCACATGAGTGTGGGACTTGATTTTTTTAGAGATCTGTGCCATATATATATATATATATATTATCAAACACAATAATTAAAACTTTCTTAACATTCCAACTATCCAAAACTTACTTAAATCTTCCATAACAAAATATTCAACTTTCCAGAATATTTAAAAACATTCAACTTCTAAAAAACGAACGCACCCTAAATGACCTAGATAGCCTTAAAATTTTTACAAAATTAAAGGATCAAACAAACCGTATTGCTCTAAAAAAGTAAACCCCAAACACCAAAGAAAAACAAACCCTAATTACAATTCCTTCCAAACCTAGAATAGTTGCAATTGGACCATTTCATAGCAAAATAAGCGTTCTAAAATCAATGGGGGACATAAATGAAAGGGTTTTCAAAACATAGCCACTTTTTAGCAAAATTATTGATTTAACCACCTCTTCGATTTTTTAAATGATTTGACCATTATAATGATATTTCTGTTTGTGGATTGACCATTTTAACAATATTTTCCATATGGTTTGACCATTTCAATAACGATTTTTCCCTCTGCCCTTTGGAAGCACAAGAGTTTTAAGAGATTTAATGACATAATTCGCAAGGCAATTGAAAAATCAATCAAAATAATTCGTCATTGACCATGCCTATATTAATAGGAAAAAGTTTTTCTTTTTTTAGAACTGTTATAAATTTGTATTAATGACTATTAAAATGAAATTACAACATGACTCCGGTAAAAGCGCTCCCCCTTTTGCCAAGGCATCAGCCACATCGTTAGCTTCCCTATAGACGTGTAAAAAAGATGCGGATAAAGAACTGGCCAGATCCAACACCTAAAACAATACTGATCTCAACTCCCAAGGGACCTTGTTCACATTTACTGAGTCTCTTTCCATCTCAGAAATGCTCCATAAATTCCTAGAAAAAATGACAGCCCCTTCCCAATTTAATTTCGCACAACGCCACTAAACCCAGACATTCCTGGATTTTCAAGGGAACTACTATCAACATTAAGCTTATAGGCGCCACCACAAACGAAACCCAGCACCCTTTGGGCCTAATTTAGCAACGCCCATATGAAAAAGGTTGGGCAGATTCAATCTTACGTCCACCTCAGACACATTCGTCCGTCTTTAATCACAGATAACCAAAGCCACAACGAATGAGGGATCTTCTCAACCACCCTTTCAAAAGGTAAAGACATCCCTTTAAAAACTTTTCTATTTCTTTCTTTCATACCTCCAATATCACTGCCTCTTTTGCAATCTTCCATATAATATTCCGAGTACGAGGCAATCCTGAAAAGATAGATTAGAAAGAATCCCAAAAGCATTTTGAGGAAGCACCAAACTCAACCCTAGTTGAGAGAAGAACCAATACCATATTTTAGAAACAAAGGCGAAATGAACAAATAGGTGAGCACCTGATTCTCGGTATCGCTTTTACACATCAGACAGATAATTTGCAATATCCTCTCTCTCTTAATAAGATTATCGATTGTCAAAACTCTATCCTGTAACACTAACCACAAGAAAGCTTGAACTTTATAAGGTATTGGTCATTTTCATACTTGAGTCACTTCAGGTAACGACCACCTCCATCTATCATGGAACAGTAGCCGATACATTGATTTAACATAAAGCAACCCATCACTCTCAATCTCCCATACAACCTAATCCTCGGCCATCCTTGGAATATAAACATGATTAAGAGCCTTCAACAAGGAATTTAACTGAGTAAAGAAGTTTTTTGATATCCGATTGCAAGGTAGATTAATATTCCATATTATCTATTCCCACCTAACCTCAAATATCTCTACCACCAAAGCATTTGGGTTGTCCACCTTCGCAAAGATATAAAGAAAATAGCGTTTTAAGGGACACAAACGAATCCACTTATGGTGCCAAAAGGAGATATCAATGCCATTGCCAATATTCCATCACACATCTCTATGAATTAGGCATTTACATAAGATGATTGACTTCCCAAAAAAGGACATATCGCTATTGACACGCCTCGTACCAATCCACATTCCAAAGCGATCAATGGCATATTTAGCCACGAGCACTTGTAGCCAAAGATGATCTCTCAAATGCAAGCTGCACCGCCACCATTTACATAATAAAGATTGGTTCACCAATTTAATTCTCCTTAACCCAAATCCCCCCTCCTTTCTTGGTGTACAAACCTTATCTTATCTTATCTCATAGGACGGGATTTTCGTCCCCCCCCCCCACCCTAGGGATTCGTCCCCCCCCCCACCCTAGGGATAAGTATTTGTATTTCTATAGATCTTTAAATTGGATTCTTTGTAGTACTTTATATAAGTGTGAGGCTCTAAACAATCAAATTAGGACGCATGTTAAAGATTTCACTAAAAGAGCTTGTTTTTATGTCCAAATATCCTCAAATTGGTCATTTTGATCTCAAGATGCATAGACATGAGGAAGAAAACAATTTCAAGGTTTGGAACAGTGCAGCTTGTAATGCATTTTTAGACCGTCAATTTTCAAGATTTTTAAGTTTTCATAGATTTACACGATCTACAATATTTTGAAGCTTTAAAATTTATAATTAGCAATGAAAATATATTTTAAGGCTATCATAAAATTTTCTAATATTGAAACTACTTTTTTCGACACCATTTGAAGGTTCACTTTACTTCAATTGTTTTGAACCTCGACTGTATACAGACTGCACCCATATTAATATGCGTCTTCTGTTTGGGAATGGAAGGTAAAGTTCTACTATAGATCCTGAACCATATTCGTTATTCTTTATAGATTATACCTTTTAATCACTTCGGATGGGTTAAGGCCTGTACAGTATCATCCATATTATAATCATCCCATGACAGATGTTCTTACCATTTGATCAATGGGTTGGATGGTGATGGAGGAAAGTGGATCCCACTGTTTAATGAATTTTATCCCACCATCACCGTCCAACCAATTGATTGGACAGCGATAAAGTCATGGTTGTTACGGTGGATCACAAATATATCATTGTCTGAAACATAAAGGGTACAATCTCCGCAGTAGAAATCGATGTATGACAAATTTTGAATATTGTGAACTCCAGCTTTCTAATGGAAGTAAAAGGAATGCTGCTACAAACCGCACACACATAAGTCGTTAGTAATGTTTCTGAAATAAAATTTATATGCCAATTTTGAACAAAACAGAAGGAAAAGAGAATATGAAGAAAGCTTTCTATAATCAACACCCAAACGAAACATTGAAGCACAGTCAATAGTTAGTAATATAGCATTTAAGGGAACCAGAGAGAAAAAAAATACAAGTGTTAAAAAGTGTCAGCAACAACTGCTAGTGGAGGCATCAGTGGGTGGTTTCTGTTTGAAGATGTTCCTCCTCACTCCTGTTGATCCTTCAGCCAATAGACTTGGTGTGTCCAAGATCTGCATCACCATCACAATTTCTTATCTTCAGTTCAATGATATAATATGAAGAGAGTTGGCATTGTAGTATCAATTTCTTTTTAGGAATTCCCTTCTTTTTAGCACTTCAAAGCAGAAATAGGGTACAAATAACAATTCTCTTCTTTTATAATCACACAAAAGCAACACAATCTCATCAGGGCATTCCTCCTTTCAAGTGGCTAGTTAAGTATAACCAATGACAAGCCAAGAGGTTATGTGCGGCTTTGCATTGCTTAACGCTAACATTAGTTAAGTGGGAGCAACATAAGCAGACAGGCAGAAGCAGCAACTAAAAAGAAAAGAGAGTGAAAAGGTACCGTGTGTGGGTGTGTAAGTGCACATGCGAGCTTTTATAAAGATTCATAAACAATACATAGCATAGTTACACATCTGTCGCCCCAAACAGCTTTTACAATAATAATGAGCAGAAAGTAACATTCTCTTTGTGGATGGAAGCTGTGTTCATTTTAGTCGAGAGACCACAATTCTCCCAGAAATCAAAGAGTTGAACATGGAACCCTCATCTCTACAACTTCCAAACAGTCTTAAGACAGTTTGTAACCCAATATTGCCCAAAACAAAACTATCTTAGTGATACAGTCCTAAAGCCAAGGCAAGTTAGTTCAATGCAAATATAGAACGTAAGCATTATATTCAAATATAAAAAACGAACAAAATTTGAAGATTGGATCAAGAAAATCACATTTTGTTAATGGTGTTCATTGCCGACGTTGACATGTTTACAGCAATAAACAAGTACGAATAGAGACAATGTAAAGCTCTATAGGATAGCTGTAAGACCAGTTATGCTTTATGGGATGGAATGTTGGGCGGTCAATAAACAACATATTCATAGGATGAGTACAGCCGACATGAGGATGTTGAGGTGGATGAGTGGCAAGACAAAAGGATAGAATTCGGAATGAATACATACGAGGGAACTTTCGTGTGGCTTTAATTAGGTGATAACATGAGAGAAAGTAGACTTAGGTGGGTTAGCCATGTGCAGTGTGATTTGATTCATGTGGAAGGCTCTAAAGGGACAAGGAGAAGACCCAAAAGAACATGGATAGAAGCAGTACAAAAAAATATGGTGACTTTTGATCTTACTAAGGGTATGACCCTTGATAGAGAAGAACGGAAGAACAAAATTCATGTAACCGATCCTAAATAATTGGGATAAAGCTAATATGATGATGATGACGATGAATAGAGGCAATGGCAGGGAGAGGAATAGTGTTCCCAATAGTTGACTTCTTGCAAACACCCTCACCTTAACAAGAGTATCAGCAGTCTCATTAGTATCCCTTAATACATGGCAATTGGAAAAAGGAAATGACAAACTCCTAGTCATTCTTAAGGATCACTTCCATGAATCCACAATCGACTAAGTTCTCCTGCCTCTCCACTTGCCCATCTAATCATAAATCTGAATCATTCTTCCAATAAAGTGCTCAGGGAAAGGGTGTGAAAGTAAGCAGGTTATTGTTCCCTCCTAGTTTTCCATTTCATAAGTAATCTTGTTGCCCCTAGTTAAGAGTAACAAAGACCAACAGGACACCAAAAGCTTTCACTATTTCCCACAGTTTCCCAGCAAGCATCCCTATGTCGCATTTCAATGGTTTGTTAAGCACCACCATCATCCATGCCTAATATGTATGTTCTAAAGCTTACAAATTCTTTCAGACTGCCCATGAGATGAAGGATGATTAATCCTAAGCATGAGCTCATTTCCAAACTCCCCAAACTTTTTCCCACTCACCGAGTCTCTCTCTTAATCAGCCCCTCTTCCTCTATCTCACAAAAATGGACAAATCTGTGTGTGTGTGTTTTGAAGGACCAAAACTGAGCACAGAAGTTTGATAGATGCGAACCATGAACCTCAACACAGCACAGTGAGATCCCTCATCGACTGCTACACCAAAATTATTAGCCCAAAAATTCACAAGAAATTAAAACCTAATGATTCTTAATCCTGCGACCACACGTATTAATCGGTCCTCATTAGAAAAGCTTGGAAGGTATAGAAGCCTCACAACTGTGATTTTAACATTCAATGAAATCACAAGAGCTTTGCTTGATAAGCTCTCGAACCTCGAGGATCTTTCTTTCTGTGTGGAGCAAAACCCAATGACAGGGTGATGTAGGAAATTTGAAGAACAGAAAATCAGCACTGATTCAGGCTAAACTCAAACAAATAGTAGAAACCTAAGGCCTGTTTGGTTACCCGGAAATGGGTGTCTGGGTGACTCATTTCCATGGATACTGGGCATTTCCGTAGTTTAGATGCAGTATGAAGATGACATTTCAATCTCCACTTGGATATTAGTGCCTAAGTTTTGAAGCCAAAATATGGAGATGTATAATCCACAAAAATAGGTGGAATACATATCTCCATGTTTTAAGGCTAAAACATGGAGATGTCCATTCCACCAAAATAATAATAAAACAATTATTAGCATTTAAAATATATAATAATATATTACTATTATGCACATTATCTTATTAGTGATATATTTTATCATTATTTTTATAATAATAATAATATTATTTTTATAATAATATTATTAATACTTTGTTATTACTAATATTATTTTAATATAAATAGCATTAATAATTACTATTCTTATATTAATAATATCAATAGTATTATTGATGATAATGTTATAATACAGTAAGTATTATAATATAATATTATTAGTAGAAGACTAAAAAAATATTATTAGTAGAATCCAAGTAGTGGACAGGTATGTTCGAGGTCTCTTATCAGATGCTATCCAAACAGGAGATATACATATTCCAGGAGATGCCAATTCCAGGCGATACCAATACTAGGAGAGGCATCTCCTCAGGCCATGCATATCCAGCGAACCAAACAGGCCTTAGGATTTCTTCTCCAAACCCAGCTAGGGTTTCAAAAGCATGAGCGTTTCGTTCTCTTTTTCTGAAATAAACCACGTGAATGAGCCAACTAGGCCGCGCACACAACTTCATATTCTATATAACATTCAAAAGACAATAAGTGTCCATACAAATAATAAATTGACTCAAAAGTCCTAACTTAAGTGACTTTTAAAATAAATGACCTTGATGACTAGAAATTTCCCAACTGGTCTATAACATAAAAGCGATTAAAAATAACTGAAAATATCCCTGAAATAGCTAGACAGTTATCCCAAACAATGATTGCTCTTCTTGTTCTTCTTGGTGGCCCTCCTAGGGTTCACATCCTCCATATATGCGTCAAAATCAGGAAGAATCTGCTGCTCCCATAGAGGATCCGGGCCACTTTTTCTGCTTGATGCATTTTGCACATCATTCTCCTCGGGTTGAGAAGTTACCCTCGAGTTAGACCCTTCATCTTCATCATCTCCAGCCCCAAATAGTCATCAAATCAGCAGTGTTAAAGATATCCAAGGTCTCCATATGTGACGGCAAAGCGAACTTGTAAGTATTGCGGCTCATCTATTTCAAAATCTTGAATGCTCCCGCCTTACAATCATTCAACTTGTTATATTTACCTGCTGGATGCCTTTCCTTTATGAAATACACCATCACCTAATCTCCCACATTAACGAGACTTCAGATTAAGGTGTGGCATGTTACTTTACCCAACATAGGTATTGGATCAACCACGTTTTGTGTCCATCGGGAACTGCCACACTGTAGTACATAAGCACAACATACTTGGTCTTGAACACATCGGAGAATACTCTACCACAAACATTGAAGTGGCTCAAGATTAATGTTGTGTTACCCCCTAGATTACCTTTAGCTCGCACATGGTGATTAGATATAGGGTTCTCCACTCAAAAACAAAATGATGGCTGAAGCTGAACTCCAACATTAGGAATCGCATAATCAATCATTCGTGGGTACCTTCTATATAATTTGTTGTTTCAAAACAAATGTTTTGTTTTATTATATTCTTGTTAAGGGTCCACTTAGTTTGTAGTTATGGAGGACAACAATGTTTTTGGAATTTATTTTGTGCACACCACATGCCTCCTTGAGCATGATGTGCCCCTCTTTAATTGCCAACTCAACAAGTGGCAGCTTTAGAGCCTTGAATTAATGCTCATTTGACACATGTGAGATGAGGTGTACTTTCTCTTACATGGTTTATAAACCCCCATGCATCTTAAAAATTGTTTTCTACTTCTTTTACACACTTAAAAATTGTCTTTTTCTAGTAGTTCTCTCACACTCTGACTCTAAAATCAACTTCATTCTACACTCATCGACCCAATTCCAGGTACATGTATGAGTGTTGTACCTATTAATTAATGGCATGATTCAATTTTCTTTTTAATGTTAAGAATGAGATTGACATATTGTGTTTTTTTAAAGTATCAATAGATATTCGGTATATTGCTTTATTGTGATATTCCCAATCAAAGTTTCAATACTTACCATACCGATTGAAATACTTTTTGTTGTGGTTTTTATGCGAGTACACTGATAATGCAACTCAGTAACTTAGGACCCTATTGCATCTCAAAATTATACTGAGTAGGGGATGATCAACACTTCGAAGAAAGCAAGCTCCTCTCATGCTTCCAGATCCCAGAAATCCCTTTGTCACTTAGTATAACCTCCAAAACCAGATCTAATTCCTATAGGATTTTGACTGGTACTACGAGCGTTACTGTTGCTAGATATAACTTCCAAAACCTGATCTAATTCCTATGGGAATTCTACTATTACTAGGAGTATTCTAAAGTTTTTCTACTGATACTGACTCTAGTTAATGGGAGATGCTGCCGAATTTTTGAGAATAAGGTGACAATGAAAACTATAAAATATAACAATTCAAAGTGTTGATCAGTTAAATTAAACTGATACCATAAGATGACTGCTGGAAGCTCGCTGAAAGCAATGACCCATGATTTTATAAGGTTGGTTCGTTTTGATGTAATTAATTTTAGAAGATAACAGTTCAAGTTCTATTTTTGCTAAGGACCTTAAAAGTGGACTAT